GCTACTAGGGAAGTCCTCTGCTGTATGACATCAATAAGGAACATGAGTAATTTAATAAAATCGACAGGGGCAGCTGATGGGGGGCGGGGGGGGGACAGAGCCTAGACATGGCTGCAACTGATGCATGCAAAAATGGGCTTCAATTGCAACAACTGCCTTGACTTTTTCAGTCTTCCCAGCCCCCCACGGCTACCCCTGAACTGAGTGGTACTAAACTGATGGCTTGGTCTCATGCTGGGGTTCTTCAACCTCCCCATGAATGATCCTGCAGTGCATCACTCTGGCCTTTATATGATGGGGAGCGGAGTGGGGGTGCTCAAATAGTCAAAAAGACCTGTGACTTGTCTTTGCATGTAACAATTCTTATGCACAGTCCAGGTTCATAGAATGCATGAAGGAGGCTGAAAAGGGGTGGGGGGTGGGAGACATGCATGTAGGAGAGAAATTAGGAGGAGAGAAATGTATTTCATTTTTATTTTCTGCTCTTCCCCTTTCCTGGTCCAAATCATCCCACCCTGCACTTGGCTTTGGGATTTTGATATTTCAATATTTCAAAAGGAGGGAAAAGATTAAATATTTCACAGCAGGGAAAAGATTAAAGGGTCATTCCCACCCAAGCACAACTCTGGTTCACGGCTTCTAAAGTGAATTCACAGAGAAAACTCAGCTGTGTGCTACCATCCCACGGAAGCCTCTCTAGTTCTTCACTAGACCAAATGTTAGATTATATTCATATTCTACAAGTTACACAGTGGGGTTGGCTCTTCACAACCCTCTTTTTCTTTTTGAAGATGAATCTGCATGTAGTGCAGGAATCCCAGAGAACAAGGCTGTGTTATACCCATCACAAGAGAAACAGGACCTGAGGAAACCTCGTTCTTTCTTGTACAAAGCTGGTCCTTATTCGTGTCACTCTAAAAATGGTTTTGACTTTCTGCCCTTGTCCAACAGAAGCAGAGCAGCTGTGTTTCTAGATCAGTGTTTCTCAACCTTGGCAGTTTGAAGATGTGTGGACGTCACCTCCCAGAATTCCCCAGCCAGCCATGCTGAGTTGAGAAACTCTGTTCTAGATAACAGAATTCTGGACAATTTTTGGATAACTGCCAAGAGTCATTTATTGTACTGGGATAGAACTGAAATAAATAAATAGGACTTTGCACTCAAAAGGTTGAACCTTTATGACCTGGTCAATATGTATTAACTTGCTTCAACTCCAAATGCCAAGGACATCATGATTTATTTATTTATTTATTTATTTATTTATCAGATTTATATAGCTGCCCATCTCACAAATGTGACTCTGGGCGATGTACAATGAACCACCAGTTAAAACCATCAAAGCAACAGTTAAAACAAAAACAGTGTGAGGTCTGATAGCTTAGACCTCACCCAAACTGATTTTGTGATGTGCTGAACAAATCCACACATCCTTTTATACAACCATGGGGTGCAACTGTATGGAGAGGTATAGCTCAAACTTTGTATTGGTCCTTGCAGACTTTAACAGCCAAAAAACTCCAGCTGGCAAGCCATTGCCTTCTGAAATAATCCAATGACTGTAAAAGATATTGCAGCAACAGTTTAATTGCTTAGGACACAAACGCCCAGTAGTATTAACAGTGAGTATCTGATTTTTATTTCTATGTGTAACTTCACTTGCTACAACATTTTTTTTCTTTTTTCTTTTTGGTGCCTTCAAGTCAGTCTTGCCTCCTCATGAATACATGAACTAGTCCCTGCAGTTTTCTTGGCAAGGTTTTTCAGAAGTGGTTTACCCTTGCCTCCTCCTGAGAGGGAGGGATTGGCTCAACGTAATTTTGCGCCTAAGGTGGGTCTAGAACTCATAGTCTCCAAGTTTCTAGCCTGGTGCCTTAACCACTACACCAAATTGGCTCCAAGACACCCAGTTTAATCTGTGTGCATGCATTGAAAGGAACTAAGCACCAGGTTGTTGTTTTTTTAAGATAAATCATGTTAATGAGTAAAGACTCAAGACTTGATATTCCTTTTTTACACCTGCAGGTAAACCTTTGCATGCCTAATACCCCTCCATAACAGATACCACATCGAAGTACTTACCCCAGGGGATGATAATAGCGCTCTTTCCCAGGGCGCTGTGTTGTATTTTACAAGCATAATTGTGAGTGTCCCTTGACTTAATAATCAGAGAACGCCGGATCTGGTACGTGACATCATGGTTAGGTAAGATGCCAGTAGACTCGGCTGAAACCTCTGTCCCATCCTGCAGCCAGGATACATTGATCTGCCGTGGGTGGAAGCCAGTGACTCGGCAGACCAGCAACTGTGAGTCAGGGACTGAAGACTTCTCAGTAAAAACCATACCGTCCGGCGGCACTGAGGAACAGGAGAGTCCAGCAGACTAAGTTGCAACCCCTTCTTTTAATTTCATTTGATCAGTGAAATAAAAACCAATACACCAGAGATGGCACATAAAAAAGATATAGTACAGATTTTAAACTAAACTAAACTTAAAGGGTGTGTGTGAAGAAAAAAAGAAAAAAAAGATCCACGTGATATTAGTACAACATTAATGGGATCATTCAACTATAACTGTAGAAACTTACTGCTCCATCCTCTCGTTTTTGGAACATATTTGGATTTAAGACATTTAAAAACACATCTCCTGAATCCATTCTTCAACATCAGGGGTGCAGCTGTCTTTCCATCTATGGAAAATATGTGTCTTTGCTGAGGCCCTGGCTTGGCAGAGTCGTCCATAAAATGTCAAAATTCCACATTTGAGGAGTATAATGCATCTTTAACTACAGCACCTTTTTTTCCGCAGGACTATATTAACATATTTTTATAGACCTGGAAATTGTGCCACATTGACCTCTAGGCCCACCCTACAGTCAAAAAGCCCCCCTGAAGCTGGCATGTCCACATTTGCAGGTCATAAGCAGCCCTTGTTCTGTAGAGGGTGATGCCTTTTCAGTGACACTGCAAATCTATATTGCGAAAAGTCCAGCTGTCCATAAAATCCAGCCATCTCCAACCTGATGCTCCCCAGGTGTGTTGGAGATACAACTCTAAGGAATTGAAGCCAGCCAGACTGACAAATCTGGAGGGTACCGGCTGCAGACGACCACACCAGACGGAGCAGGCAAGGCAACAAAATCCAATTAGAGGGGTCTCAGAATCCAAGGACCCCCTGTGCAAATGCAACCCGTGCTCCACCCAGTGAAGCAGATCACTATTCAAGGTGGTGTGAGGGAAAAGCAGCAAGCAGGAAGAGGGTGATTATTAGCCCTTTCCTCCTGGTCTTACTGAAGATCAATAGGAGACAGGGCATTACTACCCTGGAATAGCTGATAACACTCTCAGGAGGCCATGGAAACTAATAGAGGACATCCAGAACAAACATCCTAGGGAAGTTGGACAAGACTTTACTAAGAGGGCAGAGATGACCCAAGGTGTTCTAAGTACCACTGCAGTCATGTGGCATTGTTGCTGAAGCTTTATGAAATAATTAAGAGTTACACATTGTAATGCTGACCTTACACCCGTTTGCTGGCATTCCCATACCAACTGAAAGATCTTGGTGACAGAGAATAGCATAGGGACTGACCGTCTTCTCTGTTTGACAGAAGTAGGCAATTTGTTGCCTTCAGATTTTTTTAATATTAACTCCCACAATCTCTTGCTGCCTGGGGTTGGTGGGAACTGAAGTCCAAGGTTTGTATCTTGGCTTCTACTTAAAATAATGTGTATGTCTGATGCTAAGGAATAGATTCCAGATATGCATCTGTTCTCAACTTTTGAATATGCTCTATAGTCTCAAAATAAGAAGATGGAGCAATGTATATGGCCTAGATTTAGTAAGTGTAACTACTGCATTAATTTAATGCAGATGTCTCATAACCATTCAATCCATGATAGGGATCACATAACCATTCAATCCATGATAGGGATCTTACATTTCCTTTCTATTTTTTTCCCTTTTATGTTCAGTTTATTTTAATCACCATCACACACACACAGACACTTTCTTACTCTATTATCACGGATGTATTACTCTTTCATGGTTGGTTATATTTCAGTAATAAAAGCATGGAACACCCAGTTTCATTCCTGAAGGAAGGAATCTCAGTTGCAATTCATATCCTGAAAGCCCTCCAAAATTTTCATTGCCCTTTTTTAAAGCCAATGTCAAAGTAGAGCTGTTCTGAGTCTCTTTCTCACACTTTTGACTTTCCCAGGGCTGAGCAGCCATTTCACCTCTCCCACTTCCTTCTCAAGGCCAGAGCATAGTTCCTCTATGGCTGCAGAAACTCTCCATGGGCCCCAAGAATCCTGTGTCATTTTTAAAGAATCCAACCTATACAGTTCCCTCATTTCAGCATTCAGGTGGGCTACAACCTGCATTTATTGGCCATCAGCACCTCCTCTACTTTGTGTTAGCCTGAAGTTTCATAATCCAGAAGACATTGCACACATCACTCCCCGCCTGTAATAATATGTGGGAGTGAGCCTGGTAGAAGCTGCTGAGGGAGTGGTCAGATAAGAGATAGCAGAGTCTGCAGTGGCCAGATAGTGGGTGAGGCTAAGCAAGAGGCTTAGAAGAGACTCTCTCTAGTTTCTCAGGGTGTAAAGGAGATGGGAGGAAATTTATACTTTCAGACCTGCAAGATTCTGTTAATGTAGCCTTACAATGAAGTGGAATTAGCTAATCTGGTCGTTTTCCTGTCTGGTCTACTTGGGAAGGCTGACTCCTCCACAACCTGCTGTAGGCTACATTAGTCCATTTCTTCCTACCTTGCCTACTGCAGGTCTCACTACAGACACATTTAACATCAACAGTCAACACTGCATTTTCCATGGTGGGGCCCATGTAATGTGAAACCAACTGCCATTGTAGCTGAGATGGGCCCATGCCTTATTACAATTTAGGGGCGATTTCAAATGATACCTTTTCATTTGAGCCTTTTAGACTTTACATCTTTTATGGATTTTATCACTAGATTAGCTGATTATATTTTTGGAAGCCACCCAGAACCAGTAGGATTAAGTCATATACATCTTTGCCACTAATTAAGAATATAAATAAATGGAGCAAAAAGGGAAAATTTGGCATCTATTTCCTTGATGGAAGAACATAATTCTGCAGGGGAGTAGGGAGACAACCTAGGCCTGGGCATTGTTTCCTTACATTTTCCAAACAGACTGGGGCTTCTGGAAGTTTTCTCCCCCACTCATTTAGGTAATGCAATTAAGCTGAACAGGGAGATTCAGGACCACGAAAAGAACATTTCTTCAGACAGTGCAGAGTTAAACTATCTACAGGATGTAGGTAATCAACTTGGATAAATGTTGGTATTACTATGCAAATTGATAAGGATATAAATTGCTATTAATCACATTGTCACATGCTACCCCCAAGACCAGAAGTAGCATATCAGTTGCCAGAATTCATCTGTTACTCCTTCAGTAGACTTTCAGAAACATCTGTTTAGACATGATGAAACTGAAATCTACATAAATTCCAAAACTATCGAATTCTCATTTCACCATGAGTTGGTTTTTTTGGGCTGGGGGGAGGTATGGGGAGGTGGGGGAGGATAGTGTATTTTTAAACTTTAATTTTTTTCTCAACAACATACTTTTGTAAGTTCATCAGTTTGCAGTTTTTCTAAAAATAAAATATTTTTGGTATAGAAGAAGTTTGTTATCCTTTCTCCTTTAAGAAATGAAAGTCAGGCAGATAAGACTGCCACCTTTTATTCTGGAGCCTGAAATGGGTATGGAATATTCAGCCCATTTTCTGGTGAAGATTTGCCAGCTTGGAGATGCAACAGGAAGAAGAGCTGCTCTGGTGGAACTCTGGTCACTCTACATCTGATAAAATCTGGCAGGGTGAGTTGCTCTGATTGAGATGTGGGGAGTACAGTAGTTGATCTCAGTTAGGTTAGGGTTTGCATGAAAAGAGTGGTGTAGAGAGTGAGAAGGATTTCTGTCTAATTAATGAAATCTGTCCAGGTAAGGAGTGTACCTATGAGCAGGGATACCTGCCACTTGGGAAGATTGATAAGGGGCAGGTTGGCATAGCAAGAGAGGAGACTGTTGGTGTTGGGTTTGTGTTGGATGAACTGGAGGGGCTGTATGTGAACCCAGGAGCAAGGGCTGGAGTTGTTGGAAGAAAGAGAATTGGAGAGGGGTTCCCCAGAGGAAGGAGGAGTGTGAGACTGGGGAATCAGCAAGGAGATCTTCCTAGTGGACTGGCTGGGGAGAGGGTGGAAGCTGCACTTTTCCAAGGTGCAGACAGATCCGGTGTTAGTATGGGAAAACGTGACCAAGGTGCTGGCTTTCCAAGGGGGTCAGACAACAGTGACTTTCTCATCTCATCCTGGCCCTCCCCAGTGTGGAAAAGGCTCAGAACAAGAAGCCCAGGGTGAAAGTACAGTATGGACAGTTGCCTAAAGAAATGAACATAACAAAGCAGGGATTAAGTTTAGGAATTGTCTGTATAAGGCAATGTTTCTCAACCTTGGCAGCTTAAAGATGGGTGGACTTCAACTCCCAGAATTGGGAGGAATTCTGGGGAATTCTGGGAGTTGAAGTCCACCCATCTTCAAGCTGCCAAGTTTGAGAAATGCTGGTATAAGGTAAGGGAGAAAGTGATTGAAGAAACTGAACGAACCTCTGTATGTAATATTTGTTTAAGCTAAGGACGCTGCATATTAGAAATCCACACAAATTGTTTACTTAATTGCCTTGTAACAATGAACAGCACCTTAGTTTGGAGACAAGGGGTGGGTG